AGATAGTTGTTACTTAGTTCTTGTTTGTTCATATTCTTGCAACTTGTATGTTTTTGATAATTCCAAATATTATTACTTTGATTATTATTTCTCCTAACATATTTTGGAAGAATTATTTTTGCTCTTGTGTGTACTAACATTTCAGGAAAATCACACTCTGAATTATTGAAGACTTCAAATCAAGATCAATTTAGAGTTTATTATATTTGAAGTTTGTATTTTTCATTTTATTGAGTATGAGAGAGTGTGATCGTAATTGAATAACGGAGCACACACACACACCAGGGGAGAGTTTAAAATCTAATTTTTTAAAATTAATCGTACTGTATGATATTTGTTCATACGAGACGATCTAATCAATTATTTTCCTGACGAGCAGTCAAATGAATAAAAATGAAAATTTTTCAAAGTATTAATCATATTATACGATCACAGTTTGTACATGCCTTCTAGAGTATAAAATGGATGAGTCCCTTTTCTCTAAAAAATATTTTTTTAAGTATGGACCATACTGTACGATCATAGTTCGTACATGCCTTCTAGAGTATAAAATGGATGGGTCTCTTTTTCCTCAAAAATATTTTTTCTAAGTATGGATCATATTGTACGATCATAGTTTGTACATGGCTTCTAGAATACAGAATTGTGAGGTACCTTTTCGTCCCAACTCTTCGTATCGATGAACTTGAAATTTTTCATAACAGATCATATCAAACGATGTCGTCATCATACGTATGCCGTACAGGGTACAAAATTATGGGGTCCCTCTTCATCCTGATAAAGATGAAAAATTTCTAACTATTCACATCAAACGAACTTGGTTCATCCCGGGTGATGATCATGTATGAATAATTTCATACATGATTCATAACTAGTTCGTACATAATAGTTTTGAACTATTCGTATGTACTAATATACAATCATACTATATGATTGTGTACGCTTAAAATTAAAAATTTTAGTTTTTTGGATAGTTTTTTATGTCTTTGGTATAAAAGGTCTATTAAAACTGATGTGAAAAAGTCTTGTCTTCATGATTTTTCAAGGGCAATTAAAAGAGAGAGTGTGAGAGAGTATTTGAGAAAGATTTCTTGCAAGTGGAATATGAAGGGTTCACAAGGTTACTCAAAGGTAAGGATCTCTTTGTGATTTTTATTGTCACTCTTCTTCTTATCTTTCTAGTTGCTTGGAAGAAGATTTGGTACTCTACCGACATGTGGAGAGTGTTAAAGGATGATGGTTCTCTGTTGATACTTAGAGAGTGTGAATAGATGATAGTTCTCTACCGACACTTGGAGGGTATAAAAGGACGATGGTTCTCTACCGCACCAGGTACTCGTGGAAGAGAGGTTTTGTAAAGGCTTCTCTGCCTTACTGTAGGGGAAAAAGGAGAGACACTTTGATAATAGTGCAATACTAGTAAAGGGAGTCTTCAAGGAGTGGATGTAGGTCATGTTTGATCGAACCATTATAAATCTTTGTATCTTTTTAATTTTCGCATTTTATTTTTTGCAAGTTATATATTGTGGTTGAAAAGTTCTTTTAAAAACTTTAATTAACTTGCTACAAAATTCCAATCATTTTCTATCTAAAAATCCAAGAAAATTTTTAAATTACTAATTCACCCCTCTCCTCTTAATTAGCTTTGGGACAATAGCTTAGGTTTAACAATATATACGAATTCAACAAGTGATATCAGAGCCTTATTTCAAAATCATAAAATCTACACTACTTTTTAAAATTTGAGAATGGCTACTTTTGGAAACTTAAACACACTTAAAGGGTATTTAATCACTAGACCTCCTTTATTTGATAATATCCCTTTCAATTTTTAAAAAATACGCATGTCTACTTTTCTACAATCACTAGATTATCGCATATGGATTTTAGTTCAAGAAGGGTATACCAAACTAACTAGATTTGTTAATGGCATTAGAGTTGAGACACCTTTTGTTAATTGGACTGTAAAAGAATGTGACTTAGCACAATTAAAGGCAAAGTGTTTAAACAGTTTCTTTTGTGTATTTAAGTCAGAAGATTACATGCGGGTTTCCACTTGCAAAAGTGAAAAGGACATATGGGATAGACTTTTTATTACTTACGAAAGGAATAATGAAGTAAAGCAATCTAGATTAAATATCTTATAACATGATTATGAATTATTTCGCATGAAACCTAATGAATTTATTTCTAACATGTATATAAGTTTCACTCAGATAGACACTTCTTTGCATGTCTTAGATAGTGAATTAACAAATGCTGAAATGGTCAATAAAATATTTCATTATTTACCTACTACTTATGATGCTAAGATAACTACGATTATAGAGTCTAAAGATTTAAATATTTACTCTATTGATAATCTTCTTGGATCACTAATTGCTTACGAGCAAAGAGTGAGTCAAAGAAAGATTGATGCAGGAGAAGAACATAGCACTGAAAGTGGAGGACTCTGAGAGTGATCAGTCACAACCTGAGGATGAGGACAATATTTCCTTGATGACTAGGCAATTCAGAAGTTTTCTTAAAACAAAGCAGAGGAAACACCAGCAGTGAAACAGAAGTAAAATAAAAAAAAATGTTAAGGTTTCTAATGATGTGAATTATTACGAATGTAGGAAATTTGGACATATAAAATTGGATTGTCCAAATCTAAAAGCTACTCCTAGCAAGGAGAAGGTAGAAGAGAAAGAAAATGTGAAAAGGGCAAGAAGAGATTTCAAAGTGCTTTTTGGGCGGACACAGCTTCAGATTCGTCAGAAATAGAGGAGGAGGAAGTCACCAATTTATGCTTAATGACCGATAATCTTAATCAGTCAGATCAAGAAGAGGTATGTGACTTGACCAATAATGAATTGCTAGAAGTTTCTAAAATAATTCATGATGTTTATAGAAAACTTAAGAAAATGTATGCTAGTTTAAATTTAGAAATTCAAGAATTGCAAAGAGAGCATGAAATCCTTAGGAAAGATCATGCACTGATAGATAATAACCACATGAGCTTACTTGATAAATTTGATGACTTGAATAAAAAGAATGATCTTTTAAAATCATTCTATGCTCAATTAGAAAAAGAATTCAGAGATTTTAAGGATGAATCTGAGAGTAGAGAGCACTATTTGAATTTTGACATTAATGTGTTAGAAGACTTAAACATATTTCTTAAATTAAAAGTGTAAGATCTTGAAAAAAAAAAGGAAACCCCAAATACTTGAAGATTTTACTAATTTTATTTTAAGGTCAAAAATTTTAAAGCCCAAGAAGAGACAAATTAATTATAGAAGATTGAGAAATTCATTTCTTGGAGTTAAATGTTATTCTTGTGGGATAATTGGACATATTGCACACACTTGTACTTTACATAAAAAAAAGTCATTTAGTGTGGAGACCTTAGATGTATAAATCTAGTCATATCATACATGCATCTAGTTTTATTCTGCCAAAAGGAGAACCCAAACTTGTTTGGGTTCCCAAATCTAATATTTGATTATTTTGCAGGTATACTCTTATACAAGACATCGTGAGAGCATTTGGTACCTGGACAGTGGTTGCTCAAAGTATATGACTAGAGACACTAGATAATTTATATCATTGGAAGCAAGAATGGAGGTAGGTTTACACTGGGAGATAACACCACTAAGAAAGTGGTTGGCATATATATGATTGGAAACTTATAAAAATTTTTCATACAAAATGTTTTACTTATTGAAGGCTTAAAGAATAATTTGTTAAGTATTAGTCAGATATATGATAAAGGATACAGTGTAAAATTTTTTCCACTAGTTGCATATTAATCCTAAATAGAAATGATGTTTTGCATGGAATTAAGGTAAATAATATTTATATGCTAGATTTAAATTGTATTAAAACTCTTATCACTTTTTGTATAAAAATAATTTCTGATGAATCTTGTTTATGGCATATGAGACTTTGTCACGCTAGCATGAAAAACTTTAGAAAAATTAACTAAAAAGATTTGGTTAGAGGCATACCAAAACTAGACTTTACTAAGGATCACATTTGTGATGCATGTCAATTAGAAAAACATGTGAAGTCTTCATTTCATTCCAATAAGTATCTTAGAACTAGTAAACCTTTGTAGATTTTGCATATAGATCTTTTTGGACTAATTAACATTGTAAGTCTATGAGGGAAGGTATACGGATTGTTGATGATTTCTCTAGATTCATATGGATTGAATTCTTATTTCATAATAGTTAATCATTTGAGAAATTTAGAGTTTTTTTACTTGGATTCATAAGAAATTAGGGCGTGAGATTTTAATAATTCAAAGTGATCATGTGGGAGAATTTGAAAATGAAATATTTGAGGATTTTTGTAAAGAAAAAGGAATTGACCACAATTTTTCTGCACCTAGAACCCCTCAGCAGAATGGGGTAGTTAAAAGAAAGAATAGAACATTAATTAAAGTCATTAGAGCCATGTTGGCAGAATATTCACTTCCTAAATATTTTTGGGTTGAAGTGGTTAGTACTGTATGTTATGTTCTGAATAGGATGAACTTTAGATCAAATTTAAACAAAATATCATATGAGCTTCTTAAGGGTAGAACACCTAATTTATTATATTTGCATATTTTTGGATGTAAGGTGTTCATATCTTATAATGGAAAATCTACCTTATAAAAATTTGATCTAAAATTAAATGAAGGAATTTTTCTTGGATACTCTAGTGTTGAAAAATCATATAGAGTATTTAACAAAAAAAACTTTGGTAGTTGAGGAGACCACACATTATATTTGATGAATCTGGAATTTTAGAAGAGCCAAATTTGGAATATGATGAAATAGAAAATAACTTCCAAAAGATTGAGATGATTAATTTGGAAGAAAATTTGGAGAAAGAAAACCCTTTGCCTAGAGATTTAAAATTTTCTAAAAACTACCCTAAAGAATTGATTTTAGGTGAACCTAGTTGATGAGAACCCCTGGAAAAAGAAGCCTTATATTAAATTGGATTTTAAGGATGAAGACTTGGAGATGTCTGAGGATGGTGTGGCTGTTAAACTAAGGGATGATATGGAGATTTTGAATTCTAATAAGCTTAGGAATTCATTGGTTATCAAGGTTTTTGGAAAAGAGATTCCCTCATATCTGGTTGCTTGGGCTGTTAGGAAACAGTGGAAGTTGTTTGGGAATTTCCATTTTACTACTCTTGGGAGAGGTTGGTTTTTGTGTTCATTTGGTTTGGCCGAGATGATGGAAGGAGTTCTGATGGGAGGACCGTGGTTTGAGAATGGCCACATTATAGGGATGGAGAAATGGACAGCTGGTTTTTCAACCTTATCTATGAAAGGGTTGACTTCATCAATTTGGATCAGATTACCACATCTACCCTTGCAATGTTGGGCTGAGATTAACATGGCAAGGATTGTTGCAATGGTAGGAAGACCTCTTATGCAGGATGGAAATATGTTCCAATGGGGTAAGAGGGAATTTGCTAGAGTTTGTGTGAGGGTCAATGTTGATCAAAGTCTCCTTATAGGAGTTTGGGTGGAGACTATTTCAGGGAGATTTTTTCGAAGAGTTGAATATGAGAGAATTTCAACTTTTAGTTATAAATGCGGATTGGTGGGACACTTAAAAGCTGACTGTAAGAAGAAGGGTTCAGTAGCTTTGGATGGCAATGTTTGCGGTGGGAATGCTAAGGCTGGGAAAGAGGTGGAAATGCATCCTGAAGAAGATAATTGTTCTACCTATGGTCCCTGGATAATGGTTAATAGAAAAAGCTTTAGAAGATAGCCTCAATTAAAGAGGAATATGAAGGTGACAGCTAAGAGCCATATGTTTAAAAGAAAGACAATGGAAGGAAAAAGTGTTGATGATAGACATAAACATCCTCTTGTATCACCCATTCAAAAAGGCATTTTTAATATCCATTTGATACAACTTAAATCCTCTAAAATAGGCAAAGGCTAACAAAACCCTAATTATTTCAAGTCTCACTTTTTTTGAGAAATGCTAAGAAGCAATAAATAGAAAAAAGAAAATCCTAGATACAAACTAAGAAGAGACTAACCACCTATCACACACTTCCTTTAAAATATGAACAAAGGTCGAGGGAAGGTTGCTCTCCAAAAAAGCGTCCCAAACAAAATCAAAAGACAAAGCTAAGTTAGCACAGTAATCCGCTAACCTATTACAATTTCATCCAACACAATTGAAAATCACAGTATTACATTTATTCAAGAATAAGAGACCTTCCTCATGACTGTTCTCACCGGATTTCCTCTGTTTGCTTTACACTTGTTGAAGAAATTTGTGAACATTCTTATTATCTCCTTCTACTATAAGACCTTTAGCCATATACATCCAATCTTGCATTACCTCCTTTACAGCTTTAAAAGCTGATAGTTGTATGCGAGCAATGTCCCAATGCTTTCTTTTCTTTCCAAAAGCAAGAATAAACCTCCCTTTGTCATCTCTTAAGACCCCTCCAAAACCAGCATCATAGTTCTCCTTAAGCGAAGCATCAAATTGAACTTTAACCACTCAAGTGGAGGGGGGTGCCAATAATCAGAGAACAGCCCTTCGGACTTATAAGCATCCCAATGATCTGGCTGATAAACACCTTAATTGGAAGAATTGTAAAAGTTGAGTATATAAACATCAATCATCTCAGCACTATTACCAAAAATCCCATGTTTCACCTTGCATCTGTTGTTCTAGACAAACCAAACAATCAAAGCAAATGACTTTGCCATGAAAACATCCTTCTCAACTAAACTTCGAAGTCCCTGAAGCCATTCAGTAAAGCTCCTGAATTCAGGAATTATGAGCCTCCAACCCCTTAAAACATTGCTCACTTTCAACAGAATTAAATAGTCGGTTGTAATATGATCCATATTTTCAGTTTTCTCACACCCCATGGGACAAAGAGTATTCCCAGAAATCCTTCTCCTGAACAGGAATTCTTCAGTTGTTATGCCATCTTTACAGAGACTCCATAAAAACAGTTTCACTTTAGCATTCATATTCAGCTTATGGATCTAGGTAAAATCAACCTCTATCAATACATCTTTATATTCACTTTCCATTAATAAAGAAGACAAAGATTTACCCGTCAATTGAAGCCTCAAATCCTTTTGATCTTCCTACAAGGACTCAGAAATCTGGATATCTCCAATCATATTTACCAACTCTTCACCAAAGCAGTGTCTCAGTTTTGAGAAGTCCCAGTTGCCATTCTCAATAAAATAGCTCAGCTTAATGTCTCATCTTCAAAATTACCCACAGACATTGGCCAATTCAATAAGCTCTTATCCATAATCCAAGCATCCTTTAGAACTTCAATATTAGCACCATTAACCACCTTCCATCTTAAAAAAAAATTAAGAGCTTTCCACCCACTTATCAAAATCTTCCATGAATTAGAATTACATCTAGATCCCTCCCTTTTCCACCATTTTTCACCATATTTGGCTAAAAAATTCCTGTTAAATAGAAAATTATGATTTTCCATAGTATCCCAAGCAAATTTTGCTCTAAGCGGTCCAATTCTTTCCAAGGCCGAATGAACACCCCAACCACCACATTTCTTCGGTCTACACAACACCTCCTAACCCACATAATGCATGCCATGGCTTCCATCCATCTTATGACAAATAAAATTCTACAATGCCTTTCTAACTCATATAAGATCCGCTTGGGAACTAATGAATGAGCAGTCAAAAAAATAGGGAGAGCAAGAAGAACAGACTTTACCAACACAAGCCTACCCGCAAGAGAGATAAATCTATTTCCCCAAGCATTTAGCCTCTTCAAAGATTTATCCATAAGTGTTTGGAAATCAGCTTTTCTCAATCTTCTTAGAGCAATTTTAACACCTAGATACTCCAATTCTTCTTCTAACTTGATCCCCAGCAACTTTGAAACTTTAATCTTCCTTCTCGTACTAACAGCCTTTCCACAAATCAAAGCAGATTTTTGCTGATTAATGGCCTGCCCTGTCCAGTTGCAATAGTCTCTCATAACGTTCCACATCTTCTTAACATTCTTTAGTTTGGCATCTAAGAACAACAACACATCATCTGCATAAAGCAGATGTGTGATCTTGGGAGCCTTAGCACAAATCCTGATTCCCAAATTTGATCCTTTCT